GCCCGTCCTCGTAGGGTTATCCTCTTTCGCCGCCCCGGCTAGGGTTCGTGCCTGAGCGAACTAGAGGCTGAGGAGGCTTCACCGCTATACTTGGAGCGTATAACGCACTCTAATTACTGTACTACAGCCTCAGGCGAAGAGTGCTGGCCTGAATGATAATAGCATGCTGTGTAGGGCGAACTTGCCATTCTGGACGCGAGCGGCGGCAGATGGAGGCCGTGAGGGATGGTGTACCGGTCATGGCGGCAGCTAGGTCAGTGCTCATAAATAGTCTGTCCTTTGCCTGGAGAATTCTTGGCCAATGAAGGTTGACAGTCCAGTATGCATTTGTTGTTGACCAGGCCACGAGCGGCATATCTCGAGAATCTGCCAGGAAGCTACATGCTGGCTGACCCGTGGTGTTTCGTTCTCTGTATGAATTTGCTGTGGTCATGACTGGCTTGGTTCATTCAACAAGATGTGTGGGGATGATGATCGAGGGCGATTCATGCTCTGAGATGTCCTCGGAGCTTCAAGAAGCCGGTGCTGAGTCTCAGCGCCGAGCGTTTGTAGACATGGCGTTCGTGGGGTACCTCCGAAGCCATTATATCCGCCACCGTGAAGCAGCTGTCTCAGCATTTTGAACATGCGACGCATTACAGGTAGTTATTCTAGTTGGGTGTAAGGCAAACAGCCCGAAGACTTGCTAGCAGTTCTGTAGCATCGCTCACACATGGAGGACCTTCGTCCTCTGGCCAATGATGCAACAGCAGCTTGAGGCAACACTGCGCACGCAGTATGGACCAGATATGGTGGTGACGATTAGGTCACTAGGAATAATGTAGCACTTTACAGTTGACTGCGGTGTGAGCACATTTAAACTCCTTCCGGCACTTTGTTGCCTGCGTCGTCGAGACTGGTTCATCTCGCTTCTCTCGATAATGAAGCAGCATATCTCCATGATTTTTCTAAGTATTTTGCTATTAACCGTAGGCACTCCGACAGTATTAGCGGACAATCAATTTGATCACTGTCACAGTACGGCATCAAAGCATATCCTCGGGGTATAGTGCTAACACCAATGTTCATAGACGTTCGGCTACACGCAGACCCTGTAAGCACGAGTAGTGGGTCGTCCATTATTGTAGAGGCGAATTGCTTTCACTCCAAGCTGGGTTCTAATCTTACTTACTCCTCATACATTAGCCTGGGACCTTGCTTATGGAACCAGGGCGGCACTTTGGTCCCGGCAAAAGGCTTAGATGTTCATTGTAATGGATCGTTCACGGAAACATGCTCCAGATGCAATCTTTCCCCTGACGGACGTTCATTGGAGTGCCTGTGTAACGACTCTAGTGGTGTCAATACATTGCTATCTCGCATCAACTTGAGCAAGTTCATGGGCAGATTGCGAAAATGGTTGAGTAATTAGCTGACATTTATAGACGAAGTCTTGGACGCCAAGTATGGACGCCTCGTTTGCCCGAAATCGGGATGGTCGGGTGCTAGAGTAGACCAGGCAAATTCATGTTCAGCTCCGATGGGGTGGCTGGAATAGCTCCGGGATAACGGCAAGGTTGGATACTGGGCGGTCATCGAGTATTGCGTAACAGTGGCGCCTCTTTACGAATAATGAGAACATTAAGGGTCAAACAATGTAATACACAACAGACGTTGATACCTTTTTCCTGTAGCCAGCTGCGCCCTTCGTCCTCCTGGATTGGGGCGTGCTCGGACAAGTACTCTTGTAGCATTACACGGCTACACCACGCTAGACCTGCTAGTAGTGGTGTAAATTCGGCTGGAGCCCGAACGGGGTCGATCGCAAGTACCTTAGTCAAGTGTAGTAGCGGATTCACGTACGGCCGGACCAGTACCTGCTGTGTTAGTGACGCCGTACAGAACGTCGTCGTCGTCGTCGTCGTCGTCGTCGTCGTCGTCGCTGCCTCCCGGGTGTTTCTTATGTAACAACCGATGATGGGTAGTACGGTTTGGCATTACTTCTCCTGTACATAACGGCGGTAGACTAGTAACGGAGTGACTGCGACCAGTGCGTGGGCGCGGTCCTGGGGCGTAATGTCAGACATGAGGATCGGAGCCGCTTCCGCATGGGGTTATATCGCTGTCCCCAGCTCAACAGCAGTAGAGCACGTGCTACAAGACTTACACTATTATATACTTGGAGGTATAGATGATTCTATTCTCGCTGTTGCGATTTGATGGACCTTTCTATACCGCATTTGTCAAGTAAGCACATGCCATAACGCTACTATTGTCTTGGGACGTTGTGTCCTGACCGGAATGAGGGTTCTTCCCGCTAAGCCAGGTCCATGCGGTCTCTGTTCAAGCCATTATCGTCTGGATCTATGGGTGTCACACCTTCAGCCTGGGTAAACGAGAGTTCGTGGAACCCAATCATGTTGCAAACGGCGCCTGTAATTCTGTTCCTGTTCCGGCATCACCACGAAGCGATGCCCAAGTGCTCACGCGCCCTATATGGCGAGCTCGGCTTGAAAGCCCTGCGAATTCCCGCTTATGGGCGACAAAGCCTGGAATAGCGGCGTGGCTTCTTATTCCGGGGATAACTGGACTAGCGGAGGGGGACGAACCTCTGAGCACCATTTCGAACATATGAAGGATCACCAGGGCTCTGTGCAACCGCAAAGATGCATCCGACCCAGCACTACTGACGACGCCGGGCACGCACTTCTGTGTTCGCCTGGTAACATCGCTAGAGGAATGCTTCTCGCGACTCTCAGCAACCCATTCCGAAATTCCCCTTTCCCAGACAACTTTCGCTCTCGCCATACAGTGTATGGTTGCAGTCCTTTCGGAGTCAAAGAGCGTTTTAGAAAGACCCGCACATAGTAGTTGACCATCATTTGACGAGACCTTGGGCAACACCGCGCACGTTAACTTAAACCTAACATTGGTGGGTGTGCTGTCGAGTGTGTGGCAATTAAAGATATCTTGACAAGGATAGAGGCGCATTGACCAAATGTTAAGCTGTTGTCCAAGAGTGATGCACGCGATGGATATGGTTGAAAGATAGAACACGCTGGATCATATCTGTAACTGGGCTATCCCGAGCGCCCAATACACGACGCGAGGACCCCGGCAGAGTGGGGCTTTCCAAAAGGAAGATGTCGTCCTTGAGTAAGCCTCCGTGCACCTACCTATTAAACGGGATCTTTACGGCATCCCCCTCACATCATAATATAAGATAGCTATGGGCCTTCTCGACTCATTGGCGTTCTTTAAATTTCATAGAAATCCACTGCTGGACTCTCTAATTCGAGCGGCATCTAGCTGGTGTCTGGAACGGATGTGGGCCGGAGACTGAGAAAGCGGGCCCACCGTGATCAACGAAACTTTGCCTGCAAACGCAAACCGCATATCTAGTCTGCGAGCATGTGGAGAATACCTCGCTCCATATGCACGTGTGCTCTGGGTTCTACGTTCAAGCAACGGGGATAGAAAATCGTTATTCGTTCTTGAAGTGCCTTGCATCAGTAGGAAGTGCGCGTCACCCTCGAACGCAAATCAAAAGGAGAAGGTGGAAGGCAATGAGATGATGACAGCAAGGAAATGGCCACTATCATGAGAGCTCCGGCAACCGATCAGTCCTCGAAGGCGACATAGGAACACCAGCTGATGGTCCGAATACATCGCATAACCGCGACTCGGCTGCTCCTCGCCTATGTGGAGGTCCCTTTCTCTTTTGGAATTTCCTCGCCAGCCCTCTCTCCTCGAGATGTTCGGACTTAAGCGACGGTCCGCCTCATTACTATGCCCACCGAGGCGCTCCCGCCCAGTCCCTACCGTAGATTATTCGTGTCCCGTTTGACGCATGCCCGCCGGCTTGAAGGTGCATCGAAGGAGAGGATATGCCGAGACCCTTTGCCACCGAGATCAGTGCTAGTTTACTTGGAGGAGACTACAGAGGGCTTTGGAGAGTGGCATATTTTAGCATACCGTGGACTACCCAGTCCACCAGACTAAGATACGTTCTTGGAGCATTCAATCATAGGTGCAGGCTGGTGAACGGTATAGTCATTGCCAGTTGGAAATGTACCCACAATGCCATGCAGAGCTGGTTCGCGACTCAAGCGACAGATCGCCATGCACTTAAGAAAGCGGAAGTCAAAAGCAAACGCCTCTTCGCTATTGAATATCTCTTCAAGAAATGGGCGCATACCAATATGGCCCCTGAAAGTTGCTCAGGAGGTCACAGCCCCGCAGGGTGGTGCCGGCAATCCCAGCCAGGCAGCCTCCTCCAGAAGGCACAGAAGTCGTGGTTACACCTGCGATGTTCGTAGAAGCCATGTTCAGGATCGTGCCAAGCCTGGTTGATTCTGGCGAGCAACAACCTGCGCGGTTTGCTCCCATGTGATAATCGAAGTACAGTTTGTCCATAGACCGAAATTTACTTTGCTGCTACCCACCGCAGTTAGAAACTCTGGAAGTGCCTAAGCGCTCTTTTTGCGTTAATCCGATGCGTTATATGAATGTCCTGGCTTGATGCAGGCTCGTTGCAGTCAAGGGCCTGCAGAATGCGGAGTTGCACGCGCACAGAAGACCGTCGCCGCACTAGCTGTCGTATCAACCTACACCACTCACTGCAACTCTATTAATCCCTCTGCAGCACCTTCGTCTCGTTCGTGTGGTCGTCACCGCTCTAACCCCATTGTACGCACGCGTGCAACGGCGCATATCTTCAAGCGCGCGAATTGCTTCCACGCGCAATACATACAGGCATCGCCCAGACGCTTTACGATATGACCAAAACAATGACACCAACTTCATGGTATCATGTCAAACTGGCAGCATGCTAACCTTTTCTGTAGAACGTCATTTCTCCCGTTCACTGCTAGGCATAGTAATCATTCTGTACTCCGTAGATGACATGAAGATACCGGTTCTTATGATCCCTGTAGCTCATGCTTCGCAGCATATATCACCGACAAACATGCCCGAATCCCTAAACTGAATCACTACCGGGTTGAGAACGGGCAGCCTTCATGACGGACATCGAGGCGATTACACGGTCCACTCAGGGGAACCAGTAAGACCCCTCTACTTATAGTCCTCCCCGCATATGAGATGCTAATACTACACAGGCGAAGTTCTCGCTCGCTTTTGACAGAATATTAGAAGGCGTTCTGGAGCTAGCCGAAGAAGCTAAGACGCACGAGTAAGAAGCAAGGCCGCCGATATATACCCTGACTCCATCTAATATCGTGCTCGATCAGAATAATACTAGTTCACGGGTTCGTCATTGCAGGTAACACTGACTCCAGTGATAATTGCGAAGGACGGAGAGGCCAAAGGACTTATGGTCTGCACGAGGGTCTCGAGTATGCCCAGGCGCGGCGCATCCTCGAAGAATGGACTCGCGACTCGGCAGAAGCACTACAAGAGCCAGTCGTTGTGCGGTGCATGACCATCAACACGACCGAAGTCTTAGAACACGGCAAGGAAGCACTGTGCTCTGCCCCCCACTTCCTGTGTAATTCGCTCCTGAACTTGACACTTAACAATAGCTCCCCTCTATTCCACGGTGCTTAACGAACCCTTGAGGAGGCAGGAGGGGATTGTTTCTACTCGCACTCAGCTGGTGGCAACCTTTGCGGCGCCATGCGCTAGCGGCGGTAATGCTTGCATATCGGGCACTGCAGCCAGTGGCTCTGCTCCATTCAGATATGGAGTGGCGAGGACGGGAGAAGGTTGTCCTTCATCGAGCAGTGCGCGACCCTGGGCCGCTGGCGTCTTTGACAAGTGTGCTTAAATCTTTCTGGCTTACACGGTCGGTGCAACTATTAAAGGTTTGCTATTTGGATCTGGCCGTACGACGCGATACCCTGGATTCCTGTAACCCATTCCTGATTGCCTTTTTGTACTGCTCTTGGCCTTCCGCGTCGATCGGAGGTGGTAACGACAGTTTCGGGGGAGATCTTGCCCATCGCGAAGCCCGTTTTCGAAGTTATAGATGTCGTTATCGTGGATCCCGTATTTCGCGGTTTTGATTCGAACGAGCTCAAACCACGCGCGATACGCGCCTGAATCCTCGCAGAGGACTCTTCAGTAGTCGATTCTTTGATTAAAACGCGCACGGAGCTCAAGTCGTCGTCGTACGAAGTTCGTAGCCCAGTTCGTTCCGACATGTGGCGCGTCACGTTCGCGGAGGAGTCGATCCGCCATTTCTCAAACACCACTTAACCGCGGTGAAAACGATCGCGAATCTAGTTCGATTATGTACCAAATAATACTTTCCTCTTCGTGCGAGGTTAATTTCTGGCAGGGTAGTCGGATATCTTGTTGCGCAGGTCGGTCGTGTCGTCGTCGTTGGAGGGTCGAGAGGGATACATTATAGATCTGTGCAGCCTTTCGTACGCTTAATTCTGGGTTTTATTGAAGAGTATTAAGCGCTAGAATAAGATTACTTTCAACTGAATGCCGCACCATAATTACTGGTCGAGAGAAAGGGGAAAGAAGAAGGCCTGTACGAAAGTGGCGGGGGACTGATTCATCCACTTGTATGATTCACCCACTTGTGGATTACGTTAGTACTAACATCAATGGTCATGGACGTTGGACTACACGCAGACCCTACAAGCACCAGTAGCGGGTCACCCATTATTGTAGAAGCGAACTGCTTTCACTCTACGCTAGACTCGAATCTTACTTACTTCTAATATATCAACCTGGAACCTTGTTTGTGGAACCTCGGCGGCACTTTAGTCTCGGCAAAAGGCCTAGACATTTATTATAATGGGTCGTTCACGGAGACATGCTCTCGATGCGAGCTCTCCCCAGACGGACGTTCATTGGAGTGCCTGTGTAACGACTCCGGAGCTGTGAAATCATTGCTATCTTGCATCAACTTGATAAGATGGTAGGCGTATTGGGAAAATGGTTGAATACCTCGCTAACATTTACAGACGATGTCCTGGACGCCAAGTACGGACGCATCATTTGCCCGCAATTAGGATGGTCAGGTGCTAGAGCAGACCAGCCAAATGCATGTTCAGCTCCGATGGGCTGGCTAGAATAGGCCCAGAATGACGGCAAGGTACTGAGCGGTCATCGAATATTGCCAACAGTGTTGCCTCCCTACGAGTAATTATGACAGTACGAATTTAACAGATGATTGTCGAAATTCAGGGAAAGGGACTGATTTCTAGATATCATCTTAGTTTTTGAGCCCTACGATGTGTAGCTCCATAGATGCGAACCTCCAGTTGATTTATCCAATAGTTATCAGCTTAGGCTTGGGTTTTCTAACATACGTTGGATAGATCTGCATGGACTTCATTTATCGTCAAAATCCAGGTTTTGGGATGGTAAGTACTATATTAAGATCTGCTTACACGATCCGTTCTAAATCTTCGAATGAAGGAAATGTCCAACCGTATGGTGGGGCGCCGTCACTTTTATAGTCGATCTTAGCCCGGCCCAGGGCAAAATACTTCATAGCCTCCATAGGCAGTGATAACACGGAGAATGAAGACGCAAAGATGATTGAGAGACGTCGCTTTGGCCAAAAGGGGGTTCGCGAAATGCGGGGCGCTGGGGAAGTTTTCCACGAGCGTGGAAGCTTTTCCACGGGCGTGGAAGCTTCTCCACAGGCGTGGAAGCTTCTCCACAGGCGTGGAAGCTTTTCCACAGGCGTGGAAATTTCTCCACAGCCGTGCCTAAAGTCGCGTGAGTAGCGGTCCCAACCACCCCAACACCGCATTTAAGATTACTGTACTACAAACAAACCGCTCCAGCTGGGCGAGACGAAGGGTGGAGTCAGATGCTGGGGTCTAGCCGACTGAACGTAAACAAACAATTGGCTTGGCGTCCGTTCGCTTTCTAACGGGATCAACGGGGACCTGGGCCAGATACGTAATAGCACCGCGAAAAATGGCAGACAGGTTCGAAAATCCTTAGAAATAAAGACGTGCCATCATGATCATCATCCTTCCGATTGGGCTTGGCATAATCGTGCACGATGCGTGCTGCGCGATGGCCTATCAAAGACCTGACGAATGTTAAGCCGCGTTGCCCCACCCCACTTGCCACTTTAGGGAGGAGGAGCTGGCAGGACATGGTGGATGTTGTACACATGCGACAGAGCCGCCCCCGCCCCCGCCCCTGTGCTGAAACAGGACTCCACCACAACAGCGGTGAGCTCCCTCGGTATTCGGTCACGGGGTATCCCACAAGCTCAGCACGTCGGACTGGCTGGGCTTGTGGGCCGTCGTCTTCGGCCCAAAAGAAAAACAAAAAAACAATTATCTACGGCTTGTTCGGGGTGGGACATCGGCCACAGCGCACCAGGCGGAACGCCGCTCCGCGTCCCTGCTGCAGGAGAGGACGTGGTTCGACGCGGACTTAAACTTGCATGAACAGAGGGGCAACAATATGTAGGAAGTTGTATTACATACCAAGTGGGAAGAGCGCCTGGTAGCGGCTTACTCCTTGCCGCCAGATGGTAGGGGAGGCAATTAGCTAAGCTTCGTCTCGCTAGATCAGGTCACACATATTGCTGGCTGAGACAAGCAAGGTTCGGGCAAATTCTTGACAGGAAGTGTAACTAAACGAGAGATACATTGACCAGCTTTATGTACATACAAATGTCGATTCGCCTACGAATGGCCCGCACCTACACTGCCAGACACTATGTCTCACCTTCCCAGACCGCGGCGAGGAGGTTCCGTAGGGCAAGAAATCTATGGGTACCCTTGACATTGTTTTACGAACGTCCTTCCCATACACATAAGACATTCTTGTAGAGAGTATGAGCCGGGAATCACCGCACCCCGCAACTCACTTGCGACATTACAGAAGGTCCGCTATCCACTTGATTTCTTCGTAATGGTGACCAGGAAGGGAATCGAGCGGCTCCGCCCAGGGGATTCCGAACCGACGACGCCACGTTGCAGAGACTGCCGCAGCCACCATCTGGCTCGCAGAGCAAGAGAAGAAAGACGGCTCCACCAGTGCAGCCCGGAGGACACGCAAGACTTCGAAGCGTATGTATTGCTCCAAGGGGGTGCGCGAATCGGGAGGATACACAAAGTCGAGGAAGTGGATTGGGGTTGAGCCGTTGACGCAGTGGCCAATGCGGTGCAGGATGCTCGCCCGTGTGCTGAGAATGCTGTCCATGGAGAGCTGGCGATCTGTATCCATGACTGCGGTCTCCAGCATCGCCTCAACGATGGCTCTGTGGACTGCAGTGAGGTCGATTTCGAAGGAAGCTTGGAGGCAAGCCCGAAGCCCCCTACCGTAATGTTGAGGGTTGAAGTAGTGAGATCCAAGGGGCCACACTACCTGACAATGTGTTGGACCGAGAAGGGTTTCAACGGAAGGATCTTGAAGAAGTACCATGATAAGATCCCGAAGATGATGATCGAAGATCTGACAGGTAGGAAGAAATCATTCTGGGGCAGCATCATGCGATTCACCCTTCCTCAACAGCATTCTAGACTATGACCATGGAGCTCCGTTTGCGGCATACCTGCTGGAGGGACCTGTCCTCGATCCATGCTCAATAGGAACATTGTAGCACCTTCCTGTAGATCTAGCAAGAGTATATAGCTTGGTGATATAATGGCTCAGTGTTAGGAAGTCGGGTGGCAGATACGTGCTACAGTCAGATTCGAAATCGGTGTCCGTATGGGTCATGCAAAAATAGTTCTGCGCACGGACACCCTGGCCTTGGCACACCACGTTAATCAGTGGAGAAGTGGGCACCTTTACGGAAAGGTGGGGAAGAGGACGGCCAATTCGTGCTCCAAAGTCAGTAATGGCTTCAACAAGACTCCTCACTTATTACATAGATAAAGGCATCACATTATAAGAAAAGCACACGATTCTACAACAAAGAAGGGTCCCTTTTCGAAGGTACAGTTTTCATAGTATATTATAGCGCAGGCGAGGAGGCAGATCCCACATCACTTAACGCTAGAATGAGCGGATCATCATCACATTCTAGACGCTCCTGGATTTCATCCTCGAGCTCGACCTCGAGATCGTCAAGATTAGCGTTTCGAATTGTGATTTGAGCGGCGATAGGGTTGTGATGGTTGATATCGATCGGTCGCGGCGCTTCATAGAGGCAAAGGCCGATCAGGCGGCAGCGCTGGCGCCCTCCACTGGAATGCTGACAGGTACTATCACGCGACTTCACCGCTTCGTGCGCCTTGCTAATGGAGTAGAAACTAAATGCCATGCGTCTTAACAAGCTTTAGGAGGAATGCATCGCGATTGGTGTGGTTTTGATGCATTCAGACTTCTGGGTCCCATCCAGCTTATGTATTAGTGGAGATGAATGGATGTTTTAGGGACTGTTGTGCGCTGCTGGTATGGAAGGAACTACGCTAACAGGACCTGGGAGTGCCTGCTATAGCCTATCCTCCCTTGCTGGATATAAAACACAAATCGATAGCCTACACACCTGCGGTTGGCAAACCCGCTTAACGGTCTACACACCGCGACCTCCGAACGTGAACCCCGAGATGGATCCGCTGTTCGCGCCTAGCTGGAAGTCGGAGTTGTTGTTTCCAAACGTGACATGCATTGATTGCTTGCGTTCTTCTTCGGCCATCTTTTTCGCTTCTTCCTGCGTCTTCAACTTTAGCCCTTCCAACAGCGCTAGTAACACCCGCAGTATTGCCTGTTCTTCTCCGATCACGCGCCGCATGCCAGCCTCGTCCTCGTCTACCATGCCACTTGTAGTTTGACCTCGACCTTCTGCAGGATGGAGCTGCTGGAGGCGGGTGTCCACCGTCGTGAGCTGCTGGTCCGTGCTAGTGATTGAATCGGTGATGTTCTTCTCCTTGTCAGTGATCGCGGCCTTCAACTCCTCGGTGACACGCTTGCCGCGAATCGAGCTATGCCTAAGACGACAGGTTAGCAACTTTTTTATATAGCGAAAATATACCTACAGTGTTGCAGTGCTGATTACGAGGTTCAGAGTCGCACGATACTTCTGAAGCTGTTCAGACATCGCCTTGATCTGGCTCTCGCGGAAGAAGCCCAGGCCGGCTCGATCCCGCCACGAGATGTCACAGCCAGTAGAATGCCGGGTCCAGCGTTGGAGGTCAGCTCTGAACTTAGTGCAAGATGTCGTGCAGGACACAATCGCATGCTCCAATTGCTCGGCCACCGTTGCGCCCAGGGCAGTCCATTGCGGCTGACCGACTGCTTTCAGAGACTCCAGCGTGGCTTCGACAAAGGCAACATCTTCACGGAGCGCTTCCACAGTGGAGGGGGCATCGGAGATCTTTCGAAGGTCGTCCAGCAGAAGCCGTGTCGCATGGAGTGCTGGGACAACAATGCCAACCACACCTGTCGTGATGCTGAATGGGTCGGCCATGCTCGATTCGACGATACACTGGTTGACGAGCAGAGAGTGCTCATTGAAAGATTCAGATGGTCACATCAGGTCGATGCGGGGTCCTGCCCCACCGTACGCTCAGTCGTAGCGCCAAGACTCGTCTTACGCCACGTGGACGGCGTCGAAGCAGCCTCTCAAGCAGTCTCCAATGGCTCCTTGACTGCTGATGCATCCTGTCCCACCTTGTTTCCAAACAGTCCAACAGCCCGTTAGAAACCGTTCATATCCCATGGCTGAGCACACACAAATTGCCTTCGGCGACAGGAACCGCGGCGTCCAAGTCGGGTTGAACAGTGGATCAATCACCAACGAGTTCCACGTGCCACCCGGTAAGACGAACCTTCACGTCCCTCCCGCCCATCGCCCCGCCTACGTATGCTAACCAACCTTATTAGAACGACCAGAAACACCACCGAAACCGTGCCTCACGATCCCCTTCCGCCGCGACGCCGACTTTGTGAATCGCGACACCCTCTTGGACCAGATACAAGATGCCTGCTCGCGACCGGCCTCCCGCGTTGCTCTTGTGGGGTTGGGCGGAGTAGGCAAGTCACAGCTCGCCATCGAGTACGCCTATCGAACGAACGACGTAGCGACACAGAAGAGTCGACCTACATGGGTGTTCTGGATCCATGCCGAGACGCGGGCCCGCGTGGAGGAGGGCTTCAGAGCCCTCGCCGATACCGTCAAGCTCCCCGGACGAAAGCAGCCAGACGCGGACGTCCTACAGCTTGTAGAGCAGTGGCTCCGCGGCATCGAGAACGGCCCGTGGCTCCTCATTTTGGACAATGCAGATAACGTCAGCGTCCTGTTCGATACCGAACGTGGCTCCACTAGCGCCGCCAATGCGACCGTGGCGAACGATAGTAGGGGGCGAGCTCTCTGGACGTATCTGCCGCAAAGTTCCCACGGGTCGATCCTGATTACAACGAGAAATGAGAAAGTTGCTGAGAAGCTGACTGGAGGCGGTAAGAGCATCAGGGTCCAACCAATGGACAAGGAGCATGCACTTACATTGCTCAAGAAGAAGACCGGCAACAAACCCGACATGGAGAACGGTGTGGCGTTAGTGGAAGCCCTTGAGTACATACCTCTAGCGATCAGTCAAGCAGGGGCGTACATCAGACAGCAGGCGCCGCGGACGCCGCGAACCCCAATCCGCAAGTACCTAGAGGATTTCCAGAAAAATGAGCAACGGAAGTTCAGCCTGTTGAACCGGGACGAGGGCGACCTGCGACGAGACCGCGACGCATCGAACTCTGTGATCGTGACGTGGCAGATCTCGTTCGAGTCTATCCGATCGGAGCGTCCGTCAGCAGCCGATCTCCTTTCGCTCATGAGCTTTTTCGATCGCCCGGGGATCCCAGAATCGTTAGTACGGCCGCTGGGCTACCTCTCAAGTAAAGATCGCGATACGCATTACTCCGAAAGCGAGAGGAATGAAGAGGATAGCGACATCGACGAAAGGAGTGACTTTGGTAGTGAGAGTAACAGTTCCAGTGCCAGCAGCGCTTCCGAGGACTCAGTGGGGCAGAGTTTCGAGGATGATCTACAAATGCTGCGGAGTTATAGTCTGATCTCCATGGACGAGACAGGGGAGGTCTTTGAGATGCACAGTCTTGTGCAGCTTGCAACGAGAAGGTGGCTAAGTACCGAAGAAAGAGTCGAACTATTCAGGAACAGTTTGTGAGTCGGATGGCACGCGAATTCCCAACAGGGGCTTATGACAACTGGGCGACATGTCAAAGGCTGTTTGCCCATGTTGAAGGAGCGGTCAGTCACCGCCCAAAGGGTGGAGAATCGCTCAAAGAGTGGGCGCAGGTCTTATACAACGGCAGCTGGTATGCCCAAGGACAAGGGAGATACAGCTTGGCGGAGACAATGGCGAAGAAGTCACGCGATGCTAGGTTAGAAACGCTGGGTGAGGAGCACAAGCTGACCTGGGATAGTGTTTCGATGGTTGGTGAAGTGCTTCTCGACCAAGGGAAGTACAGAACCGCCGAGAGGCTGTTCATGAAAGTGATGGAGACTCGCAAGGAGAAGTTCGGGCCTGCTCATCCCTCCACGCTTAATAGCATGGCCAACCTAGCGTCAACGTTTTGGAACCAAGGTCGATGGGATGAAGCTGAGAAGCTAGAGGTAGAAGTGATGGAGACTCGCAAGGAGAAGTTCGGGCCTACTCATCCCGACACGCTCACCATTATGAACAACCTAGCTTTCACCTGGCACGCCCAAGGACGTATAACGGATGCTATCGATTTGTTGGATTCGTGCGTCCAACTAAGACGTCATACCCTTGGCCCCGACCATCCAGATACTGCTTCGTCCACCAAAGCCTTAAATGTTTGGCGCGTCGGGCAAGTATCTGTGAGTTGAGTACAGGTGAACCCCGGTTATGCGGAATAAAGGAGACATTCCGTTCAATCCGCTAAAATGAGGTATCCGCAGTATTGAGGGGAGGTCATTCTTGAGGTATTTCACGCCTATCCAGGCTCTGTATTCTACTGAAAGTACATGCGGATATCTCTCTGCTGTAAGGCTTCAATTGATGAGTTCGTAAGTACCCTTTCCTGCTTATTGAGGTAAGAAATGAGGCCAGTATCACCACCTGATTGCTCCTGGTAAAGGCGCAGTCGGCGGAGGGCCTCTAGGGCCTCAACTATGGTGATTCGTGGCTCAATTTCAAGCTCAGCATTATCGTCGTCGTCGTCGTCGTCGTCGCTATTGCCTGCCGGGGTAAACTGGTCGAGAATCTGCTGGTCAAGGTCGTCGGATTCTTCAGTCAGATTCTCGTCAGCCGGGTTCAGGAAGTTATGGATGTTCATCACCTCCTTGACGTGATGATTAGCCTGAAGCCTCTGCAAGCCGTACGTAATCTCGCGAACGGCTTCTTCATGAGTAGCAGCAATTGCTGCCTCAAGTGTGGCCTGCTGGGGGTCTCTAGGGGCCTCCATGAGGCCTTTCTTGAAGCACTTCGTGATAGTTTCAGGAGTCACATCTAGCTCCCAGGCTTGGATGCCCCATCGCAGAGCCTTTAGTACGTTCATTGTACTAAGAGGGTCTCTACCGGCATCATATTCCGACAGCATATAGCGTACCCAGTACCGTCGCCAGTGAGATTTCCAGGCTGCAATGATTCCCTGATCAAGAGGCTGTGTTTTGCTTGTAGTATTGGGTGGCAGCCATATGATAGCGGTGTTTTGTAGGGGGGTCGCACTTGTCAGAATAGCTTCATATCCGGCTTCATGAGCAGAGAAGTTATCCATCAGCAAAATGACGCTTTTACCAGCCATTTGGCGGTCGAACCAACGTAGCCATTGCTCAAATATAGTCCCTGTCATCCAGGCCTTCCTATTGTGAGTCCATTCTAGGTTCATATGGCGGATATCGACCCCCGCAGCGGTGAAGGCGCGAGGCCTTTTTGCCTTGCCAATGAACCATATTGGTAAACAGTCAGTACCTGACCAATTACAGCAGAGATGGGCTGAGATCCGGGCCTTCTCCTTTTTGCGGCCTGGAAGGCTGCGCGTCGAAAGAGAGCGATCCGGAATCATCTTCCAGTAAAGACCTGTTTCGTCGCAATTGTAAATGTCATCATGGGAATACTTCGAGAGGATCTGTCGGATTGAGGCCATCTCCTTCTCAGTATTGACGATATTGACACTGCCTAGCTCTCCATGCTGTACGCGTAGTTTTATATCGTGTCGGCTTTGGAAACGATAGAGCCAGCCGTTCGAGAACTGCGGCGGCTTTTGGTCCTTGTATTGAGGCATTTGCGCCCAGAATTGCCGTGCTTTTGCATTAATGACTTCGCCCGTGATAGTAATTGAGCTTTCAGCTTGCTGGCACCACATATATAAGGCGCCTTCGAGGTCGCGGTGAGGGTTATTATTGACCCGCGTCAAGTCGAGGGCGCGTGGCTGCTGTAGTGGCTCGCTTAGGTACGCGAAACGGCTGCCGAGGATGTCGGTAATGGAGGATGTCGAGATAGGCTGGTCGTACTGCTTCAGGAACCATTGCTGTAGCTCGATATGGGAGTCTGTCGGACGGAGACGTCGTCGTTCGCGAAGGGCTAGCTTCTGCGCAGTCGAAATGCGTCGCCGCGACGGCTTCAAGTTGGAGGGTGCGGTGGCGCGGGGTGCCATTTCGGGGGGTCAAAACGCGGTCCAAACGCGCCCCTATTTCACTCGGATTAGCGGATTTAGGTGGTGGCGATGGCCTCGCTTTGTGCGTAATCGATGAACGCGAGGGATTAGCGGAATCGCATGTGTTTTGAAAGGAAACAGCCAGTTCATCCGCAGAAGCGAGGGAATCCGCTTATGTGAGGTCCGCATAACCGGGGTTCACCTGTACAGTCAGATTCGAAATCGGTGTCCACTTTCGCTGGACACAAGTCTCTCTGCGCACGGGCCGCCTTGTCTTGGCGATGCCATGTGAGTGGAGCCACAAACAAAGCTGCCTGCAAGCAGGCGGGGCAGTCACGAAAGCCATTTCAGGCTGCACCTCAAATTGTCCCAATCTTCATTTATTGCATATACAGGATGATGTCTGAAGAGGAACCCTTATGAGGCCCCCCAAAGATTATTGCAAGCCATTGGATACAGTCAAGTTCGGAATCGGTGTCCCCTAGAGACTAGGTGAAATCGATTGTGCGCACGGACCTTTTGTCTTAGCGGCTTGCAACGCGGCGCCACTTTTGGAAGTGGATATGTATACTGTATAATTGCATATCTCATTCTAGCAGGGACGATCATTTTCGGCCGTGATTGATCTCTCGACCCCGCTCGATTTTACGTCCATCTCTCACACCAGGACAACTTCGAGACCAAAAAGTCGACCACGATGATGGACCTCAAGGATCAAATGATACAGCAAATGCAAGATGATCGGAAAGATCTGGAGGATGCTCTCGATGATATTGAGGCCTATGGCGAAAACATCAAATGGTGAATGTTGCACGTACGGGGCGAAGTAGCGATTTTGTGCTTACTCCCTCATTTAGCCCAAACGAACTTTGCGACAGCGATACCTGTAGCAAGGTATGCTTCACACGCCACTGTTTCGACTGGTGTCTCCTCCACTCCTATCCCTCAGGAGAAGAGATCCACGGTACGGTTAGTGTAGACACATGCTACACTAGTCGTGACGTCCACGGTCAACTCGTGTCAAAACTACAAAGCGAACAGCGGAGACTGTGTGGGTACGAGAATTCTCGGAATGATCCAGACTGCAACATTATAGTGGCTCCGTTTCTGACAGAGAGTGATTTGTGGGAGTTCGAGGAGGAACGTCGTATGGCGGAAGTAATGGCGCGCGAATCACCTTGAGGGACCGAAGGTTTCTAGAAAGGTTACTATTAGTAGGACATAGCGGCTTGACTGTGAGGAATGTCTAGTGGATTTGAAGCTTCGCGAGCAAGAGACGAGTATCAGACGACTATTGAGCTTTAAATTTATAGCAGGTGGTCTATTGCAACGAAAATGGAAGCGGCAACCAGGGGAGTAGGTTTTACTACATAAGGCCGGCTGATGGAATGGCATAGCACAATCCATAGGCAGGCATCGGCAGGGCAGGTCGCCTCAATCGGCGAGCAAAAATGGTGTTGTTGACAATGCAGTTACGCGCTTTCCCAGCGCAGGTCCTCGAGAACGTGCGGATCTTCGTACGCGGTGTTCGCTAAGTGCTGAATCCCAGCGACCAGCGCCTCGACAAAGGGGCAACGCCGGCTCTCGTTTCACTGAGCGATGAGAAACGCAGATGTATCAAGGGGCTATGCGGACGGCGTAAATTGTGACCTGGTCGAGGAGGCGGATGTAGCACAAAGGAAACCGATGGGGAATCGGATGATGTGCCAAGGTCTACATTATCAGCCTGCCGATGGAGTCAAGCCATGAGCACGACGCTCCTTTAGCGGGCCTAGCAGTCTTTGTGAACCCAAGCTAAGATGTCTGTTGGTTTTGTATGAGGAGCCACGTTTCCGAATTGTCTCAAACGAGCGCACTTCCTCCATATCCTCGACCTTGGGCCGCCTGCGCCACTTAGGATGTCGTTTGTGCCAGGGAGATATCAAGACGGACATGTCCAGCAGGATATTATCGCACCAATCTGCTGCACGGAGAGGGATGCGAAATGAGAAGCCGATCGTCCAGAGGAAATCCAGCTGGGTTTGGACCTCTCGCCTTCTTGCATCCTCATCCTTGTCTCGACTGATGGCACTCTCTTCGACGTATTCGTACACAATAGCCAGGTATTCTGTAGTTGGCACAAAATTCCGCACCGTCTCGCCAATGTTGACTTGTATGGAATGTCTCGAGGTAACTGTTGTCCAACCATAGCATCGTCGTAGCCTGGGACGATCCCTTGCCATGAAAGTGAATGCTATGGCCGAGTTTCGTGATTGCTGTTGCTGTTGTCTATTGTCCGAAAAGGCAAGTAGATTCGCTCGCGCTTGGTCTCGTGTTGTTGGGTTGTCGTGTGGGAGAATGCGATCATACTCAGACGAACTTTGAATCTTCTCGAGCAGTGCAGCGTTCTGGCATTCGATCTCTGGCGCCCAGTAATACAATTTAGAGTCGCGCCGTTCGGCTTCCCAGAACTAGAGCTTGACTGTGAGTAACGAGCTGTCAAACGCACCAGTCTGCTTGACTCACCACCTTCACCGCATAGGGCTGAATGTGATGGGCTTCCCAAACCATTCCGTCCATGCCGTGACCGAGGTACGCGCCCCATTGAAGTTGCTGGGCAAAAGGACAATATCTGAGTCGCGGCCTGTAAAATTCCTGCTTGGTACAGCTGGGCTCACCCTGGAGAGCCTTCTGTTCAAGGAAATCCTCGTGGATGAAGGGCGACTGCTTGTTGAGGGGAGGCTGGTTGATGTGGAACGGTGGCTGAGGCGGCAGCTGCTGCTGCTCGTTGTGGAGAGGGGCCTTCTCGTGGAGGAAACGACGGCGCTCGCTGCGCAAAGGCGGATGCTCGTCGCGGGAAGCTCGGGGCGTTGGGCACGCGCGTGTCGGAGTGCTCATGATGGGCAAGGATATGAAGGTGCTGCAGGATTGATGGACGGGTGACAGCTGCGCGACGTGGATGTAACCACGCAGGCTGAGCGGGGCTGGGCCCACCTTCCCCAGCTCGGCACAATCCCCGCTCGCCGGCTGCACCAGAATCGCCAACCCCTCACGCTTCCGGAAGGAGGAGTCCATATATCAGCACGGCATCCATGTTGAGAAGAAATAGGCATAGCGTAACTCCTCAAGTCCCAGCCATCGCGACAATGTCCAAAAAAATACTTGAAGTCCTGTGCTCCCCAAACCCCTTCCCACTGGATCTGATCACAGATGGTGGGAGGAACACGGAAGCAGAAGGCTGGATCCCAGTCTTGGGTTGGACACCATGGCATGACTTCACCTACGATGTGCTCACAAAATTGTTCGGGGCCTATCTGAACAAGCCGGCCGGATCGCTATCCCAACACGACCCGATTCTCGCCGACGATCGAATTATAAACGACGAGAAGACTTGTGAGGTTTTCCTAGGACGGTACATCATGCCAGTTGTCAACATAGCACTGTCGAAGATGTTGCCTGGCACAAAAACAGCTAGTAGCCCTTACGTAGGGTCCGGGTCTACTGTTGAAAGCACAGCAGACTGGGCAGCTCGAATCAGGCACGACGACGGGGAGTTCGAACCTTTGCTTCCAGGCGACACTAAACTGGCACTGAAATGGCGGCCGGACATGGACGATCAGGACCAATGGAGCCTGCCTGTGTCTCAAGTGCTCACTTATGCGCACTTGCTTGGCAGCCGCTACGGCTTCATTATCACCCAATCCCATCTGGTCGTCCTCCGCTTCTGCCGAGAACCCATCGGCACAGGCACGGCTTTCTCTCGACCTCGCCGATCGGGGACCGGACAGGTGTTTCTTTAAAGTATCGGCTCAGGAAGTACTGACATATCATCTGCTATGGAAGCTATGTCCCTAGATACTGGGAATGCGTTATATCTTGATCAACCTGACGACTATTATCCTCCCGAGTATTGCTCAGTACACTGGAGTGCCCATGGGAAAACGCGCCTGACGATCAAACTAGCGCTTACGTGTCTTTGCCTTCTCGCTTCGACAGGGCCTAGGGACATTCACGATCGCCCTTATCCACCGCTAGACAGTTGGGTCGCAGCAGATCCAAAGGGCTAAGTTCACGTCACTACACGGCAGTACAAGAAACGCTTGGAAAAGGGCGATCGTTATCATCAACCCGTTGAAGATGATCAACAGCAAGGCATCTCTAGCGAGCCACTGGAACATGGTTTGGATGACAGCTCGGACATGCCGACGGATGATTTGCAGTACCGTCACGTGGAGGGCATATACCACCAGGCCGACGCTGCCTTGGACGACCCAGGTCCTTCGACAAGAAGGTCAAGGAGATCGAGGAGACATGAGGCTTTCCAGGGTGATCACATCGAGTCACAAATGGATGACGAGTTTGATGAGTGGTGACGAGAGCTCTTGGCGTGAGGCACCAACAGTAGAGGAAGTTATAGTCCGAGTGCTCGTCCCACGAACTCGTGGTCATCGAGCGATTAGACCGGTTTTTGACGCATGCTTAGATTTGACAGCATAACTAACTAAGGCGATGGCGCGTCAGCTGCTTCGAGCTAGAAACATGGCTACTTCTATCCTCACCTTACCTATTTGCTTTGGGCATCAATTCAGTGAGAGATCATTTTTGAGCTCTGAGCCAGTAGCGTGCTGGGTCTCAAAGCCATCAAAATTTTTCGTAATAGACTGAAGACTTTGGACCGCAGCTCGTATTATCGGGTCAGCGTGGGAGCACCACAGATGACTGGCCCAAGGGGGGCCCTTCGAACAGATATCTCAGGTTAAGCAAGCTCAACTCCTGCCTTTGCCTCATTGGTTTTGGCGCTGTTGATGTCTTCCTACAGCCTATTTGCTCGCTATGGGTGACGGAGACACGCCTCCGTAATCTCGCAGGCAGTAAAGACAGTCCCTGCTGGTTTTTATGCTCCCCTATACGTTTCCCTGGGGTCGACAGTTCCTGTCGACCACGCCTGTACTTGTAGTGGGAAGAACAAGCTCCAAGGATTGAAAACAGCGTTATCCTCGACTAAATGAGCTCCCGATTTATTAAGCAAGAGTCGCTGAGCTTCTGCGTTTCGGAGTCGCTCCCCGAATATAGTGTTCTGCTTAGATAGGGACGGTTCTATAGCACTGCCTTGGACAGGTCTCGCGATAGCAAGCTGTGGATCGAATAAAAGATCGCATTGGGCGTCGCTAATAGTGCGAAACAATTTGAAACTATCCACGTTGGTACATAAATCCATTTGATTTAGTTATTAGTATTACTATCTCCCAGCACAAGGAGAGCCGAGCAATATATAGTGTCGATGTCAGTTCAAGCCCCTTCTCATCCATAAATTGCTCTACGTAAAGAGCCATTAGGGTAGGCTCTGATTTACAAGTAACGAGCCGCGCATATGTAGCTGCTGGTCAAACCCACAGTCAGAGTCGTAGATCCTCAGTCCTCACGCATATCCTAACAATGATTGAACCTAAAGTGGCAATCTTTGTTGCTACGGCGGTGCTGTCTAGTGCTTTACTCGCTGCATGTGAGCCCTTAGCTCCGTGCATCAATCTAATCCAGTATCAGATGGGCCTTTGCTGCTTTCCAGATCTGCCATGTCCGTTTCAGAGTACCGGCGGAACGACCAGCGTAGAGCAGACACAAATACCACACTCAACCTGCGTTGACACCTCCCCATATACCACATCGCCCATCGCGGATCCTTCTGAGGGGCATAGCAATCTAGGAAACAGCTCTACCACACCTGCTATCTCGCACGGAAGTAATGAAGTTACTTCTAGCACGGAATTTCCACCCGAGACCGCTCCCGGGAGCTCTGATGAATCAGGACCAATTGTCAAGACTTCCACTAGTAGTTCGCGGTCTCCAATTTCATCCACGAGTGCTTCGGAGCCTTTAGAACAGTCTACAGGTAGCGCAGGCGCTTCGAACGTCTGCAGCCTACATATCAATAAGTCTCTAGGAACCCTGCACCAAGATCCTGTTAAGATTGAGTATCAGCTTTGGAGAATGGGCAAGCCGTTGTCAAATGGCGAGTTTACCGGGCCATGGGGTACAGATCACACATTTGCTACCTCTGATACTAAACTCATGGAACCGCTGAGTATAGGCCTGTCCCAGACAGTAGCACCTGGGACGCCAGAGCCAGAGTGTGACCTCCCTGGGGGCTATCACGCACCTATCAGGAAACGTTGCAAGCAGATGTGGGTCAATTATCTACTCGAGTTTCGTTACGGGAATATTGTCTGGGATAGTCGACACAATCAGGATCCCCTCACAATACCGCACTGTCAAGTGGGCGGTTGGGATCTTCGTTTTACGTATAGGCGACAGCTGGACTGCGCCTTTGCATGCTGAGGGAAGCTTACTGCTTCAAACCGCAGCTGCAACGACGCCGCGGAAGTACGCGGCTCGCAATAGAGCTAAGGGCTGCGAAATCCATGTAGTATAATAGCCTAGCTAGTATTATCCTTATAAATGTGCCCTATGCCTATCACTACGAATGTTATCCCTATCAGTGTGCCCTGTGCTCTGATTCGTCCTTCCTCCAGGCTATATTTGGCTACTCTCTAATTTTTGGATACATGGCGTGTACTTTCAAACGAGCTAAGCAGATCTGGCTTAAATGCGACTTAGTACGGTGAGTACCGGCGCTGATTTTGGCGACGGAATTACTTATAACGTGGACGTCTCGCGAAAGGCTGTTATATGAGCTCCTCATTCACAGGTCGCTTATCTCAGTCTTCTATAGATCCCCCCAAACAATCACCTATCCACTTCTAGGATGGCTACCAGGGCGAGTAACGTGGATAGAAAGGAATGGCGGATTAAATGCCGTGAGGTCCTGGCAGATCATATCCGTATGTAAGGTTGCGCAGCCTCCCAACCCCTGCTAATAGCATATAGGTCAGCAAGTGGGTTGCCATATTACTCCTTCAGATGTCAGACTAGTGACGTCTGAGAATGATCCATATCGCTGGAGCTATGTCACCGAGGCAGCGCATTTATTTACGAAGAATCTAAGCGATCACTCTATCAGCGCTTATAAGCAGCTCTGTTCAGGTGTCGGGGCGGCTTTCGAAGCTATAACGGCCGGCCCCTTCGTCTTAAGCAAGGTATGATAGACCAGCTTGTTGTTTCATTATAGCTCTCATAGCTAACTAGCTAAGTCCACTCTAAATCAACCAAGTTTTACGCTACATATCAGCAATCTCAAGAGTGAGATTGAAAGACTCCAAGGCGAAGCTGCTGATCTACAAGTGCGCCTTTGCCAAGAAACGGAGCTGAAACTCTCCGCCGAAAACCGCTTGATGGAATTAGAACAGCTCGTCCTACATCTTGAGCAACAAGAGATTCAAGCAAGTGAGAAAGCCGATAAGTTCGAGAACCTTACTAGTACTTGTCTCTCTTACGTAGACCAGATTTCGCCAGACTTGCAGAAACTCATGGAGCTCAGCAGGGACGTCAAGAGTGGAATCGACCCTCCCTCATACCATTAGCATTCTACCTAGCTTCGTGAATATTAGCCCACGGGCGTTTGGCTTACTATGAGGATAGCAGTGACTTCTTGGAGCAAAGCATAGCCATACTGAACTCGCCTCTGGCCTAACAGTGCTCGAAGGACGACTGGTGGCTTACTGACCTCTAACGGCGCTGGGAACTATATTAGCGCAAGCCTGGGATTAGATCTTTGCTGAAGTCTTAAGCATCATTCAGAATGCGGATGCGGTTGTATCAAGGACGTTAAGGACATTGTTATTGTTCTTATACTCCCTTATAGGTATCTTCATCACAGTCCGCAGGCAAGCCTGGAGATCCGCTTGGGGAGAGGATTCTGGCTTTGTAAGCGGAGCGAGCAGGTACTCCCTAGCAGGTCTGGCGCAGGCTTCGGGTGATTCAGTGGGTGGTTCAGTGGGTGGTTCAGTGGGTGGTTCAGTGGGTGGTTCAGTGGGTGGTTCAGTGGGCGGTTCAGTGGGTGGTTCAGTAGGTGATTTAGTGGTTGCTTCGTAGGGTTAGGTGTACTGTAGCGGAGGTGCTTTAGTGATTAATTTAGTGGATGATTTAGTAGCTTAGTGGGTGGCTTAGTGGGTGGTGCAGCGGTCAATCAGCTGCTTCAGTAAGTAGGTGTTCAATGGCCTAGCGGCTTTAGTGAGCAGGTAATCCCGCTAATAATCCTCAAGCCACCCACTATGGGCAACGTGAAGCGCGCCCCTTCAGTGCTCCTACTTCGCATTCTCCCTCAGTAGCTTGAAAGATTCGTCTACTTGATGCCGTTGGAATGCCTCGAGCCGTGCATGCAAGTCGCTCGCCTTAAAAGGAAAGCCTTTGCTAGACATGGTCGTTTGGTAAGAGGGAACTCGTGATTCCTCCAGATCAAGCGCCAAGCCCGAATGTCGAGTGGGTGATAGTCGAGCATGCATGGGGTTGCAATGAGTGCTAAACGTGAGGGACTACCACTTGTTTTCGACAAGGCGCAGCTACACGACACCGCACCCAGCCATGCCGTTGTCCAGCCACAACATGCACCACGGCACCGCGCCACCTCGTGAGTCAACGCGCTTCCGTGTCAGCAGAGGCTACCTCGAGCTGCTCCGGACACCAACCTGGAGCGCATCCACGGCTCTGAACGCCGTCATGCTTGCATTATTTATGCGCGCTTGCATGGGCGGTCCCTTTCATACAACTACTTGCACGTGCTTCACATTGATCCTTCAGCACTCCTCAGCAGTCCCCGCAGAGCGGAAAGGTGAACGGCAGTACGCAGCAAAACCGTCGACAACCCAGCGGTACACCATGATTAAGCATCCCCATGCGGGCTCTGAAGCGGTGCAGCGCTTCTGCGCCAGCTCAGCTACTACATCGAGCCGAGGAGGACTGTCATTAACCAGGCTCAAGTCACTAGCACTCAAGCACCTCCTGGCGCTGCATCGAGAGCGGCATTGTACCATCTCCGACTGCAGTCGATAATGGCTCATGACCACTTGCTCGCGCAGGAGCCATTTTCTGCTCACGCCACTTTCGTCCCGGCTGCACTACAGTATGGGGCAGCAAACTCCTAGCGCGATCGTAGCTTGAGCAAGCTCTGGGCCCACAATTCCGCTTGCGTGGATGCATGTGAGACCTCCCAAGGCTGACCCTTTGCCTTCCTCGTTGACGTTGTCTTTCTTTTCCAAAAACCATTCATTGGATCATGGCCCCGATTGCCTCCCTGTCTTCAGGGCTTCCAGTCATGGGCGGCGTCTTTTGCTTGTAGTATCCTAGGGCTGTTTGTTTGAGTTGTTCTTACGTCGAGAGCCTTATGATCGCTGCCTCAAAATCAGACAGGGTCATTCATCAGCCATAATTGCCCTACGGTGCAAGCTTGAACTAACGAGATGTACTTCCTACATTAAAGCGCACGAATATGGTGACCTATATTGGGAGGCTTCGTCCCAGCCAATGATTCTATGGAATCGCAGTATGAACTGCGCGTGCTGATTGGTTCCCCAGCATGAGATGCAAGCTCCAAAAGTTGTAATGCTACATTAGAGCTGCCCCGCCTTCGATGAGGTCCGGTGAGCCAGGCTACCTTCTCTGTCTCTTTGCCTTTCGACTAGGCTCATCGTCGCTTTCAATTTCCAGATTCATCGCTCTCGTCCGTCTCATCACCGTTCGCATACACCTCATCGCGCTCGTAGCCTTCTATCGCCTCCCCGTTTGAGGCTTTAGGAATTACTGGTAGACGGTCAATCTACGTCCGAGATATAGTCGCGAGGCATTCTAACCTGTCATAGCCCATTCTCTGAGCTTATCATGCCCATGCTTTTTGAATAGCGCCGCATAATCCAGAGGCGGCTCGTTTGGGACTGCAAAAGGTTTTAAAAGGCTGTACTCTAGAATGTATTTATGCGAGAAATACGACTTACGCGGATCCTACAGTCCTAATATAACTTCCAAGCATCGCTTAACAAGTTCCTATTCAAACACTCTTTGTTAGACGTCCAGCGTGAAGATTCAGTTGGAGTCAAATGACAAACCGCATCTGCAGCGTGTCGGTCCGCCGGGCCGGCAGTGGATCTCCATGCCGTCTGCATTGTGCAAATATGGTATGAGCTGTGGTTTTTGGAACTGGCAAGGCGTAACAGTAGATGGGCGAAAGGAGGTGATGCTTCCACAAAGGCAAAAGCAGTCCTCTGTGTAGTGGGATGTTTATATAGGAAACAATCTTCTCGACCGTTGGCTGACTCGAGAACCAAGCCCAGATCCCGGTGCATCCCAGGCCATACGCAAGCCGATAGCAACTGTAGAGTTGAAAGACCTGCGAAGCAGACCCTTCCCAGCCACCATTTAGGCTAGAAAGGCGGGCTGCATTCACCGCGGTTGTGAATAGCGCGCTCGTTTTTACCAAGTGACAACTGAGCCTCACAATACACCTAACCACCCTGCATACATGGGTTGAGCTTCTGCCTGTGCACTCCACGTCGATGCATACACAAGTTTCACCTGCAACTGAACGCCAGCACGCAACCACTAATCCACCTACCCTCAGCCTGCATTACCACTTCACCTGACTCTCTGTGATAGCGCATCAATGTCTATGCAGCCGGTGTATGAGGCGCAAGTAGGCGTGCATGAGTCAGACGTGACTGAGCTCCAGGGCTGGAGTTCCCGCAGCCATCCGTGGGCTATGACATGATGCCTCTGCACGACGGCCTGTGACCGCGGTTGACGCTTTCTTGGAGGACCTTGCTATTCCAAGGCTGCGTCGCCAGACTTTGTTGCTAAAGGTATGAGCGCCATGTTCTGTGCCTGTCGCGGCATTGGCCGGCAAGAATGCGGTATCCTACCTACACTCTGAAGTGGCCAGTCAGCCACCCGCCTTCCAGCAGCTGGCTGCGTCAATTCGGTGCCTCCATGTCAGGGCCATGTAACAGGTTGGCGATCCCCGTCTTCAGGGCTTCCAGTTATCGGCGGCGTGCTCTGCTTGTTGTGGTGTAGTTGTTTACTCAAGTCACTGAGTCGAGAACATTGTGATTGTTCCTCTTCAGAATCAAATCGGGTTGTTTCATCCGCCGCATCTGTCCTATAATGCAAGCTTGAACTACTGAGATTGACTCCCCATGAATTAAAGCGCACGAGCGTGGTGAGCTGTTCTAGGAGGCGTCGTGCCAACCAATCATTCTATGAAGTCTCAGTACGAACTGCGCGTGCTTATTGGTCCCTCGACATAAGATTCGGGCTGCAATATTTCTGTCGTTGTCCGCGTCGAGCGAAGCTGAGGCTGACAAGCGCCAAATTTGGCTCACTGTCTGTAGCGGCCATGAGTTAGGCTTTCACACGTGGAGACAGCATGGTCAGCCCCTCAAGGCGCTTTCGCCAGATTTGGCGAATCGCAAAGATGCATTTCCAAAGTACACGGTGTCGCTCAAACAACGCTGACTAATGTGACATCGTCCTGGCTCGTCCCTAGAGTGTCCTGAGCAATCTCTGATTACCCTGAGTCTTACCTGAGCAGATTCTGAGCAGCCTAAGCCGTCCCTGAGTAGCCCCTGAGCAGCCTAAGCCGTCCCTGAGCAGTCCCTGAGCAATATGAGGTGTGCCTGAGCAGCGCCTCATCAGTCGTTGGAGGGATTGAGCACCATGTGAGAAGCCCGAGTACCCTAAACCGTGGCAAGCTCTACTGAGCGACTTGCATGAGGCTGGGCGGTATACTGAAAGCCTCTGTCGGCCGGGTGTTCCACCAGGTAAATAAGCCGGGAAGTTGAAACTACAAGATCCTCTAACGTTATGGATAACGAACATGAATTAGTACAGAGTAACGTGATGTTGTGATGCATTCTACAAGTGGTGGTCAGAAGTCAGAACACCATAGCAGTCGTAACATAAGCAGACCTCGAGGCCGGTTATGGGCAGTCGGTTTCCCGGTACGTACATGCACCATCTTGTATATACCTGGATCGAGTGCGGAACAGTGTGATTATAAAAGAACAAGTTAAAACAGAGATTCATCCTAGAGCCTCTCTGTGTTCGCGGAAGAACCTAGGAACAAACTAAGCAAGGACCTCCATGGGCCAGCCACGATCGAGGCTATCTTCCTCCAGCGTCTTCTCCTCCCTTATTACTTCATAACCAAGCTAGGTATCTCACCTTTGTAGACGCCCCAGTCGATCCGGCCCGCTCTCTCCCAAGTTACTTGATCATCTTCCCACTCGACACGGTACTCTTTGACACGCTTACTGGAAACCCTGACCCCGATGAGTTTAATTCCGCGCCCATAACCCTTAAAGACCTTGTCGAAGTCATCTGTGAGTTTTTCATGGATCTTATCTCTTGTCGTCCAACTCGGCTTGCCCTCCATCCACTTGACGAGGAACTTATTCCTGCCGTATTTCTCGAGTATGCAGTCAACTTCATATTCTTGGTCATCTTCTTCGTCATCAGCTTCTAAGGTGTTATCAATTAGTGCACACGATCGAGATGTCAGAGCTGTAGTGAAGGACTTACCCGTATTAACGGCCAACTTCTTCTTCTTAGCTTTTCCGACCTTCTTAGAGGAGCGCCGACGCTTCTTGGAAGAATGTCTGGTCGGCTCCCCTCCAGCGTCCCGAGAAAAGTACAGCTTGAAGTTACCGTCGCCAGTAGATTGTAGGTGGGCATTTGGAAGATCCCAGTCCCCGGGACGGATATGGCCATCTGTGTTGTGATCCCATGCAAATTGCATCTGAAAGTGCGTTTCAGAGCCGAGTGTAGTACGACTCAACAACCCATGATGTAGTTCCCATTGTTCATATGTCCCTGTACTCGTATCCTTAGGTGGAAGGTCCGCTAAAACAGAGCTTGACTTGGAGACTGCCATCTGCTCGGCACTGATCTGCTGCTGATGACCATGCTCTGGTGATGTCGATCTTTGCGTAAGCGGCCAAGCTGACTCCGGACGACCCTGCGGACACGCGACTGCGCTATGCGATTGGGTTGCAATGGGGTCTCGGTAGTTGCTGAAGTCCCCCTGAAAAACGTTATCAGAGATCTGTTCGCCAACACTAAGGCTGAGCTCGTGTTCTTCTTCGTCAAACACTAGCACAGGTTCTTGGTCGATATTGATCGCGGATGGAGTTGCGAGTAATCTATTACTCGTCGTCTGGCGTATGGCCGCAGACGGGAAGCATCCTAGGCTGAGCTCGGGATTATCTCTCCTGTGGCTATTGTGGTCCTCTACGTGGACTAGAGGTGCTTTAGTTCACTAAATACTTGAAAATTGTGGGCACGAATCGTTTCATGATTGACATACCAGACAACCGGCGTGCATTCGCAGATAGACCCTGGCTATCCGCAAGGATAGGATCTATATTTCTTAGACCAATGTCATTATCGCCCTTCTGCGTTTCAGCCACATTCTTGGTCGGAAGGCTCTCGAAACCCAGCCGAGGAGACTTGGGAAATGCTGAACGAGTCGTGCGTTAGGTTAGTTACTGCTTCCGCGACTCGCACGAATTATGCACTGTGGTGTGGTAAGGTGCTGTAGGAGCTGAACGTACATTGTAGTCTACGTTCGACCGCTGATCTGCTTGAGCCTAATAATGAATATTCGGCGTTGCTATGTCTTAGCTGTTGATCTTCCCAGCTGTTCCTCGGGCGGTCCGGCTGTCGACTACTAACTGGGTTCGAGACATTGGAAAGTCGCTGGCTGGATTCAATAGCAGCAGGAGGAGGAGGAGGAGGAGGAGGAGGAGGAGGAGGAGGAGGAGGAGGAGGAGGAGGAGGAGAGGGATAGGTCCAAGAGGCAGACGCTTTCCGTTTCATTCGCTGGTATGTACCAGTATCAGCATTGGCCGAGCCCGGAACATAGAACTCTTGATGATCAAGGGTAATACGCATGGTAATGAGGGTAAGGCGGTAATGAGTGAAAGGCAGTGATTAAAAGATGAGTTTCAATCCGATCAGCATGAGGTGAACTGTAGCTTATATACTCGGTGGCTACATTGTATATGTCACTGAACCTCATTTCTTGGTGGGTTTCTGGCTAGGTCTCTTTGATACCCCAGAAGCCGGGGGCTGATACATTCGCCCCTTTCTCAGAGAGCCCACGTAGTACAGGAGATAATGTTACTGGACGCCGTGATATCCGGTCAAGTCCGGTCGACGAATGACCACTAGATAAACATAATATCACATCGGCAAAAGCTGGATTAACCGACGAGGCCAGTCTGTCAAATGTGATCTTCCTAGAGACGCCCGAGATACAGAGAAGCCTACGATATACCATTATTCCTTCAAGGCCGGTTCCGCGGTTCTGTCAAAGACACTGAGATGAGCGCTCCGAGTTCCGAATCCCGCGGGCTTCATCGTGTCGACGAAGACTGTGCTAATGCTGACGTGTTTGCAGCCGATAATCATGCAGATACGCTCTCAATGACTCATTCCTAAGTCCACGATTGATTTCCATGTGATCATCCAGGCTGTTGATAACGAGCTGACAACTTTCGATGATAAATCTGTGGAAGCCGCGATGTGATAGGCTCTAGATAGTGATCTTTTTTGCGCGGTGGGGGCTCGTAGAGAATAGGAGGTGGCGGAGCGAGATGAAAGAGAGGGGATCATCTGAGCTGAAGGGCATGGCGTGATGAGAGAAAGGTTGAACGAAGTCAAGTGTACAAGAACGTGATGGGAATGAGAGCTCACTTATGTATTCTCGGCCGAGCCAGATTGGGTATAGTAGCAAAGCGGCAACTACGCTAAGCCCTTTTAGATTGCCGCCAAACCCTGCGGGGACAACAGCACATTCTCGACTACACAATTTGGACACTCCACCAAAATCGGTTCTTTGAGGTCACGGGTTATTTTCACGCGCGACGAAACTAACGAGCATAGAAAAGACGGACTCAACGAATGGATCTTGAATAGGAAGCTCCTCAAGAGCGGATTGTGAATATGATCTAGCATCATGTTTCCTATTGACCAGCTTTGCAAACCGAACGCAATCACAAACCTCACGGGGGCCATGCTTGATGGAGACCACCTTCACATCTGCTTAGTTTCACCTTAGTAACCACGACAGCAGCCGTTCAGCGGCATTCCCAGACTAAGGGCGCCCTTCAAGCTGTCCTTCAATCAGACAAGCGGTCATAAAAGGCCTGTTATCACAGATTTGAGTCTTGGACGGCCTTTCCGCGCGCTTAGGTTGATCGCTTGCAAGCGTCGGAGGCCCCTGACGCCGGCAAGCCTCCCAACCCAAACCGGGCATGAGATCTGCAGGGTGGTGTGGACCTCCGGCGAGACTACGACGACACCGGCCGCTGGGTTCTCTCGAAATGCCCGCAAATCAGGGTTGGTCATGTTGCAAAGCCAAAAGCCATGAGCATACGCCAGTTCGCCAGCAGTCCCTTCACGTCATCTACACATAGTCTGAGGTCCTCTTGACCATCGTCTACCAGGAATCTGGGCGGACGAGAGAGTGGCTTTCGACAACACAACTACTATGTTCGCGGTTAACAGGTGCCGTCCACACCATCTTGCTTATTGATATAAGCAAGTATTCCACCGAGTCCACCCACACTGCTGATCAGACCCGCAGCCAATGTATCGATCATGCATGTCAACAAATAACCAAGATAGGCCCTGTCGGCTCAGTTTGCGAGCGACCACCCAGCCGAGGCCTTCGACATTTAAAAGCCTACTGCAGGTTTGAACACACCAACGTCCGATATTCAGACACGGTGTTCCACTGGAAAGCGCCAACGATGCCGCAAGTCGAGAGGTGGGAAATCCAACTCTGCGCCTGCTTTGTTGCGGTCGCCTTGGGAAGCGACTTCACGTCGTGGAGATTGTTCCCCAAGCTTTTACGACAGCGATGGCCCGCGCTTCCCTCTCGCACGAAACTACTCATCGTCCTACGCATAGCCACTGCTCCAGCGAGTGCGTACTGCCTGGGGGCATCCCTAAAAGTCCTGTCATATTCCGACGCCGCCATCCTTCTAGAGCAGGATGGCGTCCAGTCCTCAGCCAGGTCGACATGGTTTGTATGCCCCGCAGCAACACACCGACGACCAGGTCATGGACATAGATGCTGACAACCAGGCTTCGAAAGGCTCCTCGCAGCTGCCATGTATACCTACGACCTGGCAAGGACGTTCCCGCCACGATCGCAAGACGTGGTCCACCACGTGGGGTGGATGGGCCTCACCTTTGTTCTGTACTGGTCTACCATGAGCACGAATCCGGGCATTACAACACTGATGATCCGTAACGTGGCGGCGTGTAGCTTCTTCAGCCTCGGTCTCAGCGGCACCGTGCAGCTGGCTTTGTTGCTCATGGAGCGTCTGGGGCCCTGGACGCGTCCTCCGCTGAGGATGGCGCGGTGCTTCCGCGGACTAGTGTGGACGCTGGTGCTCAGCCGGCCAATGTCGCGGGGGGTGTACATCGTCACATATGAGGCGCTCTGGCGGATCACGGCGACGCCGGCCGACTTTGCGGTCATGGCTGTGCTTACCATCGCGTTTCTCGGGCTGGTGGATCTGCATACGCGCTGGTCGATGAGGTTGCTGCGCAAGGAGTTGAAGCTGTGGGAGGAACTACCAGAACACTCAGTTTGGTGCCTCCGACCTGGAGGTGCGGACGTCCCGAGCCGGCAAGATGATCGTCCTTACGACATACTGGGTTGTCGTGGTCGCCATAGCGATTGTACTGTTGGCTCGTGCTACGGGTATGCCGTGGAGGTCACGGGATGCTGCTGTGGTCCAGACGCCATCACTCGCAGACTGGTGACCGTTGGCACTGCCTATCAGTCCAAACTTCAACCCTTTTCTCAACTCGGCACAATTGAGCACCTTTACAACGGAAGTCGCCTTGCTGCCGCATGTGTTGATGTCGTCTGAGCTCCACAGAGCTATGCAGCGCGACTTTAGCCAAGAACAGTGCGGCCCGCCGACGGACATGCAGGACGCACCCGACTTCAAACACGTTTGGACGAGTAAGGCAGAGGCCGTAAAGTCCTAGGAACGGCCAAGGCTTTTGGTAAGGGGAAGAAGAGAGCTATTTCACATCCGTGAGCAGCGTCTTCCGGGGGAGCTATCGCGACGTAATCGCTCTTATGCTGGAGCGTCATGCACACCAATACAAATACGTACTGGTAGATTGTTTAGCTGACATAATCTTCCATTCCCCGTGCCACGCTCCAAACCACCTAGGTTGGCACGCTGTTTCTGGTGCCGTCTACCCAAAGGTCGGCCGCCAGCTCGTTCAACATGCCGCCGAGCATGTTGGGTTGGTGAGACGGTCATCGACCGTTAACCCCTTGAGCTACTCACCTGGATACAATCGGATCTGTTCGAGCGGGCTCGCAATAGACCTCTTTACTTGTGCAATGGATTCCACTCTTGCCCTGTCCGGTCGCAATATCCAGGCGGAATCCTCTTACTAGGGCTCCGTCCTGCCTGGGTGCTCTGTTGTTTGCATTTCAGTAGACCTCAGTGGTATCCTTAGCACATACACGCACAAATCGTCTCGCAGCTGGAGCTGAGTCTGCAGTCATCCCGCCAAGTCGTACAGGCGGAGCTCCAACGGTGGGAGAAACGACAACGACAGAGGTAACGGACGTCACTATTATTAGCAAACCACGTGTCTCTCAAGACCGGGCTGACTATGTAATGCCCCTCACTGGCGCTTTATATCGAACTGAGAGGAAATAAAGCCATTAGTTACGTCTAGGTACTGTACCTATCGCACAACTGAAGTGATAATTCATCCTACGTTTGCCACAAGATCGAATTGCCTCGGTTCTAGATAGCAATAGGAGATTGCATTCAGGGCAATAATGCAGGGTATGTGACAGGGGCTCACTCAAGTACTTCTCAACACCCGAGGTTATGTCCGTAACACCTCGAGTCAATGTTAAAGGTCCAGTTTTTATGTGATTCTCCTCCCTCAACAGACAATGGTTTCAATAGAACCCATCGGTCGAGAACCAAAATGAGCAAGGATCCTTCCAGAATCTCGAGTTGAGAGACAGAGAGACGCAGAGAATTATGTGAGCAATGCAAGAACACGAGGCATGCTCCTGATAGCTCCAAGAAGTAGATGCTAAGCTGGACGGGAGCTTATTAAGTATTCGCCAGATACGTCGTGTCATTCCATCATTCCTATCAATCTTGGCCACGCAAAGTAGCAACAAGGCAGATGGTCATTCATCCTCAGGCAAGTGCTTGCTTCTGCTCCCTACATGTAGGCTAGTACATATATCTACATGTATACAGACAGACAGACCTACTATAGACACCCATCCGAAGACAAAGTGTTACACGCTCCTACTATCCAACCCCAAGACCACTCTCCCGAACCACTCCTGGTATGGGCCGTCCGCTCACTCGACGACACGACGCAGGCTGGCCAATAGCCTACACGCCCCAACTATGGTCCTCGTATGTCCGATCTCGTGGGGAAGGTCGACAAGAGCCTAGGTTACACGGTCAGCCATTGCACAAAGATCAAGGCCCACTGAACAATACGAGTCACAATCTTATCACCCATATCAATCGCGAAGCCTAGAGTCCACGCGTGGCCTACCACACGCAGAAAAGGTAGACTGGGCAGCCGCAGTGTTTCAGGGTTGGTGCCCGTCAGCTGGTACACCCTCCGATGGCCGCACGAAATCCACACAGCCAGCTGCGCGAGAGCACCACCCTCGCCTGCCTCGGGAGGCCTAGTCTCGATGGAGATGACCAAGGGGCGGTTGTGAATGGGGAAGTATCCGCTCTGATTGATGGTAGGTGGGTTGGCCAGGCCGCCACTACTTCCGCCGGCTGCCGATCTGGTGCTGCCGCTGACATCGTTTTGCAGCTGCTGGCGCAGGCGCTCGCGGATGGCGTTTTGAAACGTGGTTGACGTGGGCACAAGCTGGATGCTGTAGTCGATATACTTGGTCTGCACGCGAGTGTTGCCGACAGTCGGCACCAGATCATCCAGTGGTGCGGCCGAGGTGATGCAGTCGTACTCGGCGCGGCCAGCGAACGGCGCAAGAGCCAACCTGAGCACGCGACTGTGAACCTTGGCGTTCTACTGCGCCTCGCAGCACCGCCGTGTGACGCAGCGGTCTGCCTCCTCGACAATGTCCCGGATCGTGTCAAACTCGCGGGTTGCCTTTTTCAGGTCGTGCCCGAGGTCGCCAAACACCAGCGCGGGATGTAGAAGTCGTCGCCAAGCACGGAGCGAAGGTCTTCTTCGATTGCTCGCGGCACCACGGGCCGGTCGTTCTGGCTGATCTCCTCGAGGTGGCGCCTCAATCAACATCGAGGACGTCCGCCTTGGACGCCTCTTGTCGAGGAGGCCTATGTCGGTAATTGTCTTGACGGGCCTGCGAAGGCGGCTGCGGCTGGTGGTAGTCGATTTCGACATGGGCATGTCTGTAGTCCGGTCTGAGTCTTTAGACGGGGAGGATGGCTCCCAGGACGGTACGCGGGATGAAAGCGACGAAGAGGCTGTTCCATGCAGCTGGGCGGGCCTACGATGAAACCGCCACGGCTCCGTGCTGAGAACGTAGGCGAGTGCCCGGCCTTGTGTCTTCGAAGATGATAGACCCGGACAGCTCGGCGACTGTGATGCCAATGCCAACGGGTGGTGGTGGTTATGGGTGTCGGGCATATCGGGCGGAGGAACGTACCATATGTGTGTCTAAGAGGGGAGTTCGGGAAGGTACATACAGCTTGTTCTCATCAGCATTCATGGAAGCTGTCCAAAGAGAATTTTTGCCCTGCATCTTGAGCGGCTCTTCGGCTTCTAGGTCATCCACACATCTGATTCACGACTCTGAAGGAGCATTGCGGTGCTAAGCGCGTGCGACTACGACGATGATGCGTCCTGACTTGTACAAGGGATGCGGGTAATGGCAAGCACTTCAGCAATGGGCAACAGGCAACGATCATGTAAGACCACCACCAGCTGTCATCATAGCAGTCCGATGCACATGGCGTCAAAATGATCACTGCTCGTCAGATCAGTCGATTTGCAATATAGACTTCCGCCATACATGTTTTGAATTTGGGATGATTTTTGAGTGATTTCTGCACATTTGTTGCGACTACCAACCGGTTGCTTTGTGTGCGTTTGCGAACGACTTGTCAAAGTGGCGAACAGCATGATCTCCCATTCAAAGACGGTATTCCGGCTACCACCATGATGAAGCTGGAGCCAAGCCCGAAACGCAGCACGCCGAAACAGCTTGCCGAGCTACGGCTCATCATAGACAGTGTCGCCACTTTCCCTTTATATAAGCAAGTTCTCGTCTCTCCATACAAGCCAGTATTCCTCCCCCTTACATGACACCACGACGCGGACCTAGGCCTGAATATACGCCAATTCCTGCCCATCGACTTCCCTTCTTGTTGCTGTTCTCGAATCTAGATCTTGCTCGATCACGACCTAGTACTGAGTATCTCGTCTCAGGCGAGTAAAGTGCTCGGCCTAAGATCGGGGTCCAGGCACATGACGTTGTCGGAATACCTGTAGAAGTTGTCGTTCCGGCTCTCTCTTGCGTCGTGTCCATGGGAACACAATAAAGCGCCGACAATGACAATGGTCAAGGCCTCTACATCTGCATGTAGAGTCTGTCCCCCCTGCTCTAACCTCTGGCCATTTTGTGCATCTGCTTTGATCATTTGCGTGCTCGACACAATCAATCAGCCAGGTGCTTGGCTGTTCCGACCAAGCACGCTATACTGATACCACTCTCGAAACGGCCCATCTGCCCAGCGCGTGAGATGCCTTAACGCGTTGACTAGTTGGTAGACGGTCAGGATCGAGCGGGTGCTCCCGATGTGCAGATCTCCCAGGAGAACAAGCTTGGGTTCCTTGCGTGCCCCAAGCTGTGCAAATTCGTTCTCGTCGTCGCCGTCGGTCCGCGGTGACGGCGCCTCTTCCCAAGCAAGCAGCAGATACCATTCGTGACCCTTGATACGCAACAGCGGCAGCGGCGGCACATCGGTCAGATTCGCATTGCCAAACATGCGCAGCCGGTTTAACCAGGCCTTGGTCCAGATCGCCAGCTGGTTCTCGCCCGTTTCTGGTGCCGTTTCAGTCTTGGTTTCGGCGACGATGGCGATCGGACGCTGGCGTAATGGCGTATACAAGGTCTGGTTGAGTGAACAGAGGGCCTCGCTTTGCGTCGCGAGCAAATCGGTGACGGCGTCGCGATCGACGTCGATGGTGATACAAAAGTCGACGAGCCGGCCGCCCACCGCGTGGCCGGTGTAGATGTTGCGCGGAAGTAGGGCCGGGATGATGCCGGCGGTTGTTGCGATGAAAGGCGTGACTTGGGGACACTGGGATGACTCGACGGCATGGTGCAGGAGCGGGCTGTGCACGAGCGCGTTCCATGCGGCCTCGGACTGGGCCTCTTCTCTGCAGCTGGCCGCGGAAGCTAGGATCCGATGCAGCTGACGAAACTCGTCGATCGCGAGCTCGTCTGAAAGACAGTACTTGTCTTTGTTCACCTGGTGCTCGTAGAAGCTGTGCGTGGGGTTGCCCCCCTCTCTGGCTGCAGCATTCGCAATAATGGCGGGGACGACCTTAAGCCCAGCCGCGACCTTCTTGAGATCTGCCAACAGCGCGTCGGCGCTTGCGTGGAGTGGTGTGCTGTGCTTGTAGAAGTCGCGCACCTCGATGTTGGCGGAGCGTAGGTCGGCCGTGCTCTTAGTAGGACTCCTTGACCGTTTGCTTGGTCTTGATGCAGACGAGGAGCTCGGTGTGGCAGCCCCAGCAGCAGGATAATCCCTTTGTTGTAGACTGAGGGCCGTCGCCCATGACGATGGGGGTAGCTGTGTCGGAGCTGAAACTGTGGCTGCGGATGATACTTTGCCACGAGGTGTTGGCTCCTCCTCCTCCACGCCACTGCCGGGTGATTCGACTGCAGATCTCTTGCGCGGGGTCCTTGCTTCGTCCCCCGCCATTGAAGAGGTCGGACTCGGTAATGTGCCCGTCACATCGACCTTCCCGTCCTCTCGTAATGTGCCGTTGCCTTTGCGTCGCTTCGCGCTTCGGGTGTCGCTGTTGGTACTGTCGCAGGAGTCCAGGCTGTCGCTACTTTCTCTCGATCTTGTTCTTGTGGTCTCAGAGATCCAGGCCGCGATTGCGAATTCCGACATGACGAAGATTGAAGGTTTGTGGTTGCGATTGTGGTGTAGTTATCGACTCGTGTGTGAGCAGCTGTGGAAATTGGGGTCGTTGAAATGGTTGCCATGCCAACAGTGGCAACGGCAGCTTTGACCACCCCAACTGCGCGGCCCAACCCCGCCATCTCGGCCCAAAGCGGGCTGCGACCAACTTTATTACGGCGTCCGCTGCTCCGCGCTTCTTAATTCCGTAGCCTTCAACGAGCACGAGTAAATCACACGATCATTAGACAAGCGCACCCGTGACCTGACCACTTCACAGGGTTATGCTAACGTCCCCAGCAGTCGTGCCACAACATGAATTGACCAAGCCGATGCTGCTCGCCCAGTAACTCCAATCCTGCACCTCAGGTTGCATTCCAACATAGGTTAACTTATGCCTTATTGGCGTTTCAGATTCCCAAGCGGGGTTCTGTCAGAAGTGGGGCCTATGCCTAACAAGGAAGGAATGATCACCGACAAAAATGAGTTGCCCTTCGCCGTCCGTCGACCCTACCTCACACATCTCGCAGCTGCCCCCCTCTGGGGTTCACATTCCCAACTCTCTAGTAGAACGAAGCTAAGGCTACGGTTTAAGTTTTCTGAGGTCGTCGAGCCACACTTAGACCTAGGAAGGCAATTTTATTCATCGCACCCAAAGTGGCGTCGCCGGGCAAGCTGTGGCAGTGCGACTAACCCCTCAGCTTTCTCTTCGTTCAAGCACGGGGCATAAGTTGTCCTTCCTTCCCGATTCGGTAAGTAGTGAAGCCACCCGCACAGTCGCTGGAGGTCGTCCACGTAGCGTCCCAATCCGGCGTCCTGAGTCAACCAAATTAACCGGGTGGTTACGGGTTGAAGATGTGATAGGTACAACGCCCTAAGGAATATTACCTCCGTACATGTAGTACTCTCTCGATCGGGTGTCGTGGCTTTCACAGAAGATACCGCTCCGGTGCAATTCAGTGACTGGGTCAAGTGTACGATTAGAACCCTAGATTGAGTCTGATGAAAAGTCACGACTATCTGGCTTAGGAACCTCCATAGCAAATTGCACCTTTCCTCCATGCCAGGTTTTCATAGAAATGTCCTGGTGGTCGCTCGATCCCTGACTGGCTGTCAGTTGCTTCGCACCTAACATTGGGAACCATCAATCGGTGCCTGTTTCCTGATATGGACCCTTATCGATTACTGCTTATCTAATCTGCACGTCGTTGTTTTACACCACGTGCATGACCTGTCCGAGAGTCACGAAGGGAATACGCGACCAAGACTACACAAGCCGTCTAACAGGAACGCGACAGCGCTGGAAGTCTTAATCAATCCCGTGATCACACCCAACCCATAGAGTGGAACGAGTCGGTCCCTGATCGATCAACCTCACGGCAGGTCTATGATCTCAGCACGCACGTAACAGCAGAAGCTAGTAATGAAGGACGCGGTTCTCCTGCATTCATTGATGTGATGTCCTCGTGGGGGCAGGAGCATCAAGTATGGTCGCGGTACCCCAGGCCGCGGAATCCATCATTGGTACTTTTTTCAAATACAGGGTGCCAGACAGCGAGTGGTTACCCTTTTATATCGCAAAACCTGATCTCCACCCATGCTAAGCTCTAAGTCGAGCAATGCCGTAGGTGTGTCCCATGTCGGAGATCAGGATGTAGATGTCCCGATGTTACTTAAGCTGGGCAGGCCCGTTTCTGGCGGCTTAATAGCGACTTGACGGCCGCATATTCAACCGTCAAGGCGTGGGACTGGCGTCTACCATCTTTATAGACAGCGGCAGCCCCTAGGATTGCTTGGCTTCGCGGCTGAAGATATGAAGGACGTGGAGGTAGGGCTCACTCGTAGGACTCGCAAGCCTTAATTATCAAACGCTTGCTAAAACGCCTCAAGATATCGATCGATGGGAGCAGCTGATTTGCATACTGAACAGGAGGTTTTGGAGAGAATGGAACATTGCATCGATGGTCCGCTAGCCCCAAGGAGATGTCACTCTTGATTCTCCTCAATAGCACCGGTCGCTTCTCTTGGAAGTGGACCAGGCCGAGGGCCGAGATAGAGGAGCCCGATTATGGTGATAGCCACAAGACATAGAAGCCATTTGATGCTGACAGGCTTATGGCTCTCTTTGATGTTGCGACGAAGAATCTTGAGACAATTTGTCATGATTGAACATCAACATCAAATTAATCGCCGACAGCCGTGTAATCCAACGAATTGACAGTGTCAACACGTCGATATTACTGTGTTGTCGAA